ACATACTGCCCCCCCTCGTACTTACACTACATAGCCCCCACGCTGCCGACGACCGCAAATGCCCCCTATATGCGGGCAAAGGCCGACAACTCACCAAGGAACAGAAATCGAAATCAGGAAAGTAGGGAACCTCGTAACAAGTAAGGCAAGGAAGGACTAAGGCTGCATCGCAGGACCCCGTAAGACTCAAGAACCAAAAACAGCGGATGTAATGGACACGACTGAGGCACAAACGGCCCCAAGACCATACACTCCCCCTGTTCAACCCACACCAAGAGCTCCCCCCTCCACCACCCGCTCCACCCGATTCGCTTCCCCAGAAGCAATAGAGATCTTCAACTCTTTAAACAACAATGAATAGACAACAGATATCTGTTTTCCAACTAAATACAGGCAGAAGTGCAGCTGCACACGAAATAGCACTCGCAATAGCATATAGGGAAAACATAGACGTTATACTGATACAAGAACCCTATATCTCACGAGACCTCTCTCGCCGGATAACCAAATGGCATCCGGCATACCAATGCTACTCCCCCACCGACAATTGGGAACTTAACGGAAGACCCAGGGTGATCTCCTACATCCGGAGAGAACTCGGGATCCCCACCACTCAACTCAAACCCACAACAGATGATCCACACACTCTTTCAGACCTACTCATACTCCAATTAGAAGACAGATCCAATCATTCCATCAGGATCTTTAATATATACAACAGCCCTCGCAGCTCCCCAACCCGTCCTCAAGCAACCATACAAGCCATCCAGGACATACCAGACCGGCTTTTTGAAGGGAACGTCTTTATAGGCGGAGACTTCAACCTCCTACACCATAACTGGCAACCCACCTATGAGGGCAACCACTATCCAGGAGCAGCCCCATTCGTCAGATGGCTGGATAGACTACAGTTGATCTATACATCCGAAATCGACAAACCCACGCACAGGGCAGGCAATGTCCTAGACCTAGCTTTCTGCTCAACCAACCTATTCCAACAAGGTCTGAACACAAGGATAGCAGACCATCTGGACTCAACCTCTGACCACTTCCCCCTTCTCACCAACATCCCATGGAGCACAAAGATAACACATACACATAAAAAGCTTAGAATCCGTAGCCTCGAACCCGACCTCTTTAAAGAACTCCTGAATATCAATCTCACAAAGGTTAATACTACACCACAAAATGAAGAAGAACTCGATAGACATACCGAGGACCTCGTCTCGGCAATACTCAACTCCTATAACGGAGCAGCTAAGCGGGCCCTAGGACAGAACACCGACCAACCATGGTGGAATAACGACTGCAGCGATGCACGGTCCCGGTATCGCCACCAACAAATTGACAAGAAAACCTTCAGACGAGTAATCAGAAGAGCACAAAAAACCTTCTACCAAGAAAAACTGGACCAGGCCCAACAGGCAAAAGATGTATTCGCAATGACGAAATGGCACAGATCCTCCGGATCCTTCCATTCCCCCCCCATGAAGGACCCAATGGAACCAGACGCCACACCCGCGACAGGGACGCTAGACAAGCAAAGAATCCTAATAAACAACCTCCTCAGAAGAACTACGGAGGTCGGCGACATACCAACCGATTGCCCCACGGTTCCATCGATTGCACTCCCCTCCCCGGTCATCAACGAACTCTCGATCCGCGAAGCTGTACTAGGAGCGGGCAACACTGCCCCAGGCGCAGATGAGCTCCCAACGAGCATCTTAAAGATAGCCTGGCCCCTTATTGAGTCCTTCGTCACCCAACTCTATCATAGCTGCATAAGAATTGGTCACCATCCAAAACCCTTCCGTAGCGCGATCCTCACGATCATACCCAAACCCAATAAGGCTGACCTCTCATCCCTGAGATCCTACAGACCTATAGCCCTCCTATCCGTACTGGGTAAAGGTCTTGAACGCCTCATCGCCAGACAAATGTCCTGGACATCGGTCACCCATTTAGTACTAGCCTCTCAACAGTTTGGGGCCCTTCCCCTTCGGTCAGCCGTAGACCTCACAACCTGCCTCACCCACGACGTCGAGCAGGCACTTAACTCCAGGGAGTCAGCCTCGCTCCTAACCTTAGACATCAAAGGAGCTTTCGATGCTGTCCTCCCAGGCCGGCTAATCCGGAGACTCCGAGAACAAGGATGGCCCCACAACTTGATCAAATGGATCATTTCCTTTTCGACCGGAAGGTCGGTCCAGGTGCGACTAGACGGGGTCACTGGCCCCACAACGAGCATTGAGTGCGGGCTCCCCCAAGGTTCCCCCATCTCGCCAATCCTCTTCATGCTTTACATAGCTCCAATCTTTAGGATGGGGCAAGACACGGTCAAGTTCGGATACGCGGACGACGTAGCTATACTAGCCGCCTCGAAATCCCTGGCCGATAACGCCGAGCGAATCACATCCACAGTTGACGAGATTGTAAATTGGGGCACATCGGAAGGCATCACCTTCGACCCCGGCAAGTCCGAATTGATCCATTTCTCCAAGCATAAGTCAGACAAGGATCCCAACTCAACCCCAACGGTCACCATAGAAGACTGTGTAATCAAGGAACTCAACAATGGGAAGCCCTACCTTCGGTGGCTTGGCATCCTCTTTGACAAAAAGTTGTCCTTCAAATGGCATGTGAGAGAGCTCACTGCTAAAGCATTGATAATGGCCAAGGCCCTCAAGTCTCTTGGAAACACGACAAGAGGAGTCCCAGCCAACCTACTTCGACAAGCAGCTGAAGCCTGCGTACTCAAGAAAGCGTATTACGGCGCCGAGACATGGTGGCCAGGCCGATCACGCCCAGGCAACGACCACAGCACCAACAATGGAGTCGACAATCATATCAATTTCCTCAACAGACTCACCTTAGAGTGTGCCAGAGCAATACTACCGGTCTGGAGTACAACGAACACAGCAACCCTCTACCAAGAAACGGGACTCAGACCTCCTGAGATTGAACTCGACAACATGGCCCGCACAGCGGCAGTCAGAACCAGAAGGCTAGATCCTTACCACCCCCTTACGTGGAGAGCAGAGTGGATCCAAGAGAGCCCAAACCGCTTTAAAACACGATACGCTAGGCGTATCCTCTCACTCCCGCCGTCGGAACGGATCAACCCCCTGGCGGCCCCTAAGTGGCTCGACCCCGAAACGAGGGAAGAAATCCTGCAACGCATACACGGCCCTATAGGCCGTTCCAAAGACGAAGCAGCGACCGACTTCAATGAGTTCTACAACCTACTCCCCTGCAAAGACATCGTAATCTTCTCAGACGGATCGAAACACGCAAACGGCAGCACTGGAAGCGGTTTTGTCGGCTATCAGAACAACCGTAAGATCTGCGAAGGGAGCTCGGCATTGGGGAAAAACAAGGAGGTTTATGATACAGAAGCGGTAGCAGCATTTGAGGGCCTCAGAGCGGCAACAACCTCGTTAGAAGCAGGTACAGCAGCGGACATATAGATCTGCCTTGACAATACCGAGGTAGCAATCAGGCTACTCTCAAACACCACAGGATCCTCGCAAGAGATCTTCTCATCCTTCCGACGAACGGCATCAGGTTGGCCCAATGGCACAGTGCACATCCGATGGATTCCAGGACATAAAGATGTGGCAGGAAACGAGGCAGCAGACAAAGCAGCCAAAGCAGGAGCAGCACTCCCGCATCACCGAAGGAGCCTACTCATATGCAGGACTTAGGAGAGAAA